TTAAATTTTCATATGAATTTTCCAAAACGTCGAAAAAAAAATTAATTAAATTTAGAAACTTAAAAAATTTAAATATCAAAATTTATTTTGGAATACAAAAATCAACCCAATGCAAAAATTTATTAATTTTTAATCCAAAAAAATGCATTGAAGTAAGATTTTAAGTTTTTTTTTCAAAAAATTTAACTAGAGCGTAATTTTTTAACAATAAAATAAAAATATTTTCATAAAATTGCCTTGAAATAAAACCATTTTATTTATTTGTATGTAAATCTTCAAAATATTGAAACACCGCCAAATCACCGCTTAACAATATATACTCAATTGTAAACTAATTATTTAACATAACCTATAAATAAACATATGTATGTATTTCTATCTATTGTCTTCCTCTCTTCGACTCGTCTGTGTTTCCCCGCTCAACTGTTGATAACTTGCGAACGATCCTTCATATCTTTGTGCCTTAAAAAATTTATAAAAAAAAAACTTTAAAAACTAACTTTCCCAAAACTGTGTTTGATCTTGATTGCTGTGTGTGTTTGCGTGCCTTAAACTGACTACTTTAAAATACAATAAAATTAATTCAAATATATATTTATATATATAAACTTATTATAAAATACAAAACTAAAAACAATTAATTTAAAACATTCTAAAATTGAAAACTGAAAACTAAAACATACAAATATTTGCACAAAAAATATTGAAACAAAAATTAATTGTTTTTCCACTCAAATACTGTTATTAATTTCTTTGATTTTCTAATGTCATAAACGTTTTAAATAAAACTCCAAACTATGTATTTATATGTAAAACTACAACAACTAAAAATATGCACCACAATGTGTTCGACTAAATAATATATATGTATACAATGTATTTGTGTATGTAAAACTATATACTGCCCGCCGCTCCGTTTGTGTTGAAATGCAACTCTGAGAAAAATTTGTACACCTTTAAACCGCAAATGTTGAAAATGATATTGCAAAACAATATTCACTTAAAAATTAAAAAAAAAAAAAACAATAACAATAAAATGTATATGTATGTCATAAAATAAACAGATTTTCAAAAAGAAGGTAATTTCCAGCAATTTAAATTTTTTAAAAAAAATCCACTAACCAAATAAATCAGCCACTTTATATTATTGTAGAATTAATGCGTCCTTAAAATGAATTAAAAATTATATATTTACTAAAAATTGCTTGCATTTTGTTGTTGCTCTTTGATTTGGTCGTACAATTTTCGAAAACTCTAAATGTTAACTGTAGTTTTCCAAAGCATCAAAAGCATTTATGGATGTTGCATGCCTAAAACCTTAAGTAGCAGTTGCAAAAATAATTAATTATAAAAAAACCAACGGTATCCAATTGGCGCGTTTGGTAGCTTAGCAACCCTGAAAAAATTTCCAAAGACCCGTTAACACCCATTAGCTGTTAGTAGTAACTAGCGAAATCGCTGTCTGGAATTGGCGCCAATGCAAGCATAAAATTTAATAACTAAATTTTCACGAAATTCCTAAGCTTCTCTTTCATAAACTCAAAAAAACTAAAAATGTTGTTTCATGCTAAAAAAATGTCCTTCTCTTACTAATTCCACACTATAGGAAGTCGGCGAAGAGTCGAAATTGGCGCGCAGCATCGAGCGTGTACGCGATCTGATACGCAAGAAACGGCAGGAGCGTAAAGAGCGCAAGGAGCGCAAATATGCGACCAAGTTTCAGCAAATCGTCATGGAGGCGCAACAGGCGGCGGCGCAGGTGATCGAGAAGCCGAGCTTATTAACCGAGACGAAGCTGCATAGATTGAGTTATCAGGTGGGTGAGCATTGTAACTGTTTATTTTTATCACTAGTCCTATATCTCTTTTTCTCACTTTCGTTTCCTCTCACTTACGTGCGCAGGAGTCCATGAATCGTCCGGTGTCCGGTTCGGATTTCGGCTTTCAAATACCCTTGAAGGATGCGTTGCACACGATCATTGACGGCGTGGAGAGCGAGCATGAGCTGTCCGAGCAACAGCAATACCAACAAAAACAACATCAACAACAATTACAATCGCCAACACAGTTGCAGCAACAGCAACAGCTTATGTTACTGCAACAACAGCAGCAGCAGCAGCAGCAACAACAATTGCATCACATGCAATTGCAGCAGCAAGCGCCCTCCTTCGATGGCATTACAACAACCACCAGCTCCTGCCAATTAGACAATAATAGTCGCAACGACTACAATACGCTTTATCCGCAAGCGGAACGTCGCCTGCTGCATCAAGTGTCTTCCGGTTTCGGCACCCAACACAACGATTCGCGTGATGAGCCCACATACACCGAGTCCATTGAGCTGCGTCTCATGGGCCAGTATAATTCGACTGACACCGATCCATATGCGAATGATCAGCGTAGCGGTTGGTTTATGCGTGGCGATTCGTTGCAGGACACATCGTCACGCCGCTACTGCAGCGATGAGCATGACGAGGCATATTTGCAGTATCAGAAGTCATTGCTGACGCGTTCGCCCAGCTATCGCAAGTCATTAGATCGATTGTCGCAATCGAGCGATCAGTCGCAACGTTCACTGATACCGTCACGTAGTCTGAAATCCGATGACGACTTGCATATGGGTGTGCGACGACACTCGAGCGGTCAATCACTGAATACAATCTCGATGGAGCACGAGGAGCTGCTCTCACATCAGGGTAACTTGCGTGACGAATTGCTGAACTGTGAGCATAAGGAGCTCTTTCAATTTCTGCAAGATGATGCGGACAATAGCAACAATTATTTCAGCGAAACTGTCGGCTATGGTTCGGCATATGTCGACGCCGACACCGATTCGTTGATTGTCGATACACGTAAAGAGGAACGCAAACCGTCGACCAGCAGCATCAAATCGAATTTAAGCTATATATCCAACTCGATAATGCAACAGATCGAGCAGCGTCGTAATGGTAGTCACCCGTCTAGCAATGGCAACGGACATGACGAGGTCTTGCCACTGGTTGAGCATTCTGAGTTCGATAATATCATACAGAGTTTTGAGAAAGAGTTGGAGGAGATTAAACGCTCCACCACGTCGTTGGAGCGTCGCTTATCCACACTCTCCGAACCATCGCCTGCGGCCGACGAAGCCAATAAAGCCATACTCGATCATATTGCGGTCATAACAGGCGCGTCAGAGCGTGCAGCTGCTGACGAGGTCGTACATCCATTAAATCCCTATGATAGTTATGACCTATCAACAGTGCCCCGTCGCCAGCATTCGCTGCTCACCAGCACTGATCGCAATTCGGTGAAGATCAAGCGACGCAGCCTTGAGAAGCAACGGAAGATCGACGAAGACTTTAGCATATCAAATGAAATACGCAAAATCTGTGATCAAATACATGCGCCATTCGTGACCATCGAATCGATGGCCGTGGCAGCTACAGTGACAGCGGCCGCCAAATCGCCGTTTGCACGCCACAAGAGCGATCAGTTTGCGGCACAATTTGATCGCTTCAAGCGATTATCGCTGATCGAACGTGTCGATGAAGTACCTGAAGAGGAGAAACCCATATCAACGCTGCGCATGGAGTCGGAGAAATTGCCACGCAAGTGCCTCACAACTGACGCCATCCGACTTGATAGCTTATCGCTGAAAAGCACCAATTCATATGAGAATTTGCTAATACAAAAGCAACAGTTGAGCCGTCAACAGAGTAATCAACGTGACGGCGGCTCATTGGCATCATCCGGTGTGGCTGTACCAGCAACACCACCAACATCGCTCAAGTCGCAGCTCGAACCGCCAACACTAGCACAAATATCCTCAATCAAGACCACGCCGCCGCTAGCGGCACTCACTGAGCACCAACAACATTACCACGCCTCGAAAATACATGACCCACCACCACCACCACTACTACCATCACAACAACCACTAATTCCGTCAGCAACAAGAACCACCATTTCCACAACTTGCACCACCACCACCACGACCATCCGCCCAAGGGCTGCCGGCGATGTGGGCGATATGCGCGCCAAACGCTTCGCCGAGCATCCTCAATCGACTCTAGACAAAGCCGCTTCCTTTCAATCCACACGCACTGAATCGCATAGTTCATGCGGTGGCGGCATTGCCGATACCAGTTCGGTACTGGCACTGGGTTATAGCGTGCCGGGTGCACGCTCATCTGCGAGCGGTGCTATGGTAACGGAGACCGCCGAGCCAACACAGAAGTCGGCGTTCTCGCGGCTGACCGAAAAACCATGGCATTGTCTGGTCTCCTACGTAGACGATCTCACAGTAGGTGGGAGACGTAACTCGCAGGGAGCATACAATGATCCCATGACTTTTCCAAGTTTCGGACAATCGAAAACACCGAAAGTGCCAGACGATTGCTTCCCGCAGAAGTGCTACGATCAGTAAGTATGAGTAGATTATTTAAATTTTATAAGATTTACGAGTTCATACCACACGTATTTTGCAATTAAAATTATCGTAGAATAAAAATACGGTGAAATAAAAAATTAAAAAAGGTTGCCACTTTTTATAAATTTTAGTTCAAAGAAATTCATTAGCTATACAACAGCACAAATCAGATAGATTTTTAAAAGGTTGTGGTTAAAAAAAAATGTATAGCGTAGCTGCCACCTGTTTAAATAAATAGCATTAGAAATATAAATAATAATTAATAAAATTAAACGCTTAATTATAACGTGACTATTGAACTAATGCACTTAAAGAAGACTAACGGTTGAAACTATTTTACCAGTGTTGCCATATTAAATTTTTTTAAATTAAATTAGTGAATTGAAATAATCTGGGTACCAAATTAAATAGGTTTAAAAATGTTTTCAGCTAAAAAGGGATGCCACTTGGAGTGTTACCATATTATTAAACATTTTTACTAAATTGAATTGGCGAAATAAAATAGAGCGATCAATTTGGGTATGAAACTAAATAAGTTTAAGAAAGTTTTCAGCTGAAAACAGTTGCCTGATGTTTATAAATTTGGAGCTAAAGAAATTGATGATATAAAGAAACACTCCAAAATGGGTATCATTCAAACGAACTTGAGGAAATTTATATTTAACATTTTTTATGGTAGGCTTGCCACCTATCTAAAATTTTTATTTACTAATTTTGGGAAATACATAAAATCGGTATTATATAAAAGGTTATGAGAAATAGTATCTTTAAAATTATTATGGTAGGGTTGCCACCTGTCTAATTTTTTAAAAATTATATTTGAAATATATTATATTTTAATATTTGTATGTTATTTCCCAAAACACGAAAATTGCAATCCTGCTCTATTCAAAACAGATAAATCCTTACATTAAATTCTTATCTTCATAGAAAAAAAATTCAAATGTTTTAAAAATAAAAAAAATTAAAATTATATAAATTTGTATTTCTTTAAAATTATACATATGTATATTTCCTATCTTTTCTCTCTCTCTCTCTCTCTCTCTCTCTCCCTCTATAACTTACTTTTCTCTTTTTTCCCCCCTCATCTATTCTTCTCTGCTGATGTCACCTCAATCTATCACCTATGTCATATGTGAAAAAACCACAACAACAAAAAATCTCATTACAGCTTCTACTTTCGCTGTCCATGGTTTATGTCGTGCATGGACACGAAGAGCGCCAAACATTGGACACGCATAAGGACGGCTGTCTTGGCGGTTGTCGATACTCCAGCCTTTGAGTGGTTTGTGCTAGTGCTCATATTCGCGTCGAGCATCACACTCTGTTTCGAGGACATCTACTTGGATAGCAATAAAACGCTGAAGCGTATACTCTACTGGACGAACTTCTCATTTTGTTTGATCTTTGTCGTTGAAATGGTTTTGAAATGGCTAGCGTTGGGGTTTTCCAAATATTTCACCAGTTTTTGGACGATATTGGATTTCATTATAGTCTTCGTGAGTATACAATTGAAGGTCGTAAATATTTATGCTGGTATTTAATGCTTTTGCTCTCTCTCATTATCGCAGGTATCCGTATTCTCATTGCTCATTGAGGAGAATGAGAATCTCAAGGTTCTGCGTTCGCTACGGACATTGAGAGCTTTACGCCCATTACGCGCCATATCACGGTAAGTTAATCGGTGTGCAAACGAAGTAGCCGTAAGCTTGTGTCTACAATTTCGCTTAAAATATTAATGATGGTAATTTTGAAAAAGAAAAAAAGTGAAGTTGAAACTATATTTACATACTTTTATTGAAAATTTCGTATTTTCGCTCTTAAATGTGTATTCTCTTAAGCTATTAATACTATATACGTGCTATATACTATAGACTACTGAATTTGGCATGCTCCATGCTAATGTTGCTCAAATAAATCTAATCTATCGATGTATTTTGGTAATTGTGTAATTTTCTTTGAATCCTTAAATATTAAATTATGCATCAACTTTCTACTTTCAGATTTCAGTCTGCCTTTTTTAACTTTTTACGCTACAACATTTAACTCTTTCTAACATACATAATATACTATATATACATACTTATAACAACGACACTAATTTCTTACAACATTGGCTTTGAACAAGCTTGTATGCACATTTTTTGTACCGTTATTAATTTTCTAATATTCTTACATACATATGTTTGTATTTAAAAAAAATTATGCTTTCCAACTTTCTTACTGTATTTTAATTGAAAAAAAATTATAATATTATGAAATACAATTTGGAAGTGTTTAATACAATCTCGTCTTCTTTATGAATTTCGAATAGAAATAATAAAAAAGTAAATAATGCCACACCGAAAGTACCGTATAGCGCTCTGTTGAAACGAAAAATTCACTCAAATTTATTGGCAGTAGCAGTAATGAATATATCCCGTTATTGCGTAATTGTGTAATTGAGTAATTGAAGCATACCGTTATTATGTACCGTTTACCGTACAACCTGTACCACCTACTAGGCCGCCAGTAACTAACAGTAATATGTATTGATGTCGGAATTCAGAAGTTGGAAATTGTAGCTAATCAGTTTATATGTGACATGTGATTTTTTTTACATTTGCGTACAGTTGTATTTGCAGACAAAAAGTTTGAAAAATACAACAAAAAAATTTAAATAAAAAATAATAATAATAAAAAAAATTATAACAAATAATAATAATTAAAAAAATAATAATTTAAAAAACTTTATCAAAATTTAATAATTTCTAGTGCCAAAAAAAATCAAGTTTCTGTAAACTTTTTGTGCTGCAAACACAGAGCAATTCGTGTTACACTTTGCCTTCCGCATCGGTGTCTCGCCTAGCCAAAATTCATGTGCCCAGTTGTTGTAGTCAGTTGTTATCCTACAATATTTAACCGTTGTTATTGGCTTCAAGACCGCACCTTGCACTTCACCCCCCAGTATATGTGTATGTCTTACTTGTACTCACTACTGCTATACGGCACTAAGTCTTACATAAACATAAAACTTTTCCTCTCACCAAACACCACTTTCCCTGTCACTTTGCTATCCTTTGATGAATTTCATAATTTTTTGATTAGAACCAAATAATTACTAACCGATTTGTTTGCATGCCTGACGTTAAGTTATTGTAAAAACAGTAAATTATATATTTTTTTTATTTTCGAAAATCAGTTTTCAAGTGTTAAAGAAGAAAAAAGATGTAGTACCAATAAGCAAGTTCGCTGGTTTAAGAGTTCTTATCCCTTGAGTCTCCCGTTATTTCTATTGACTACAGTTTCTGAGTTCTCACTTTCTTTATGGTACGATGATGGCGCCACGATATTGTTTAGAAATTTAGCAAAAAACTCATGAAGAATCAATGCAGTTCGGTGTGTACTACACCTCGATAATCGAAGAAAACTGTCAACATAGCCTTTTTTTTGACCTGCGTTGACATGGTTTTTCCGGCTCTGTTTTCGAGTCGTAAGCATAGATCCTGGTAGACAGAAAGCAGTGTTTCACAGGCGTTAACATGACGCTGTTTTTAAAAAAATTGAGTGATTTTGGTTTCACTTTTTTATGCCCAAATGATCTCTCAAAATGGTTTTCACTGATCCTTTGGATATTCCAATGATGCCAGTAAGACCTCTGACTATTAGTCGTCGATTCACAAGCATCATTTCCTACATTTTAGTGACGTGTTGATCATCAGTTGATGTTGATGGTCGTCCTGGACGTGGATCATTGACAATGCGTTCTCAACCCTCCTTGAACAATTTTTTACACTAAACACTTGCTCACGACCGAAGGGCTTTCCCACCATATTGAACATTTCGGGACCAGAAATTTGCTTCCGCACACTTCATGTACTTCAGAAATAAATATATAATGACATATGCACTGACAGTCACACCAACATAAAAAAAAAGTATGTCGACAGATGTTCATAAAAATATGAATTAAGGTGGTCTCCAAACTAGACTCTCAAGCTGGAGTCAAATCTCGCTACCGCTGTCAGTAAAAGCAGCTTATAGAATTAAACCCATCTACTCACTATTAGAACCTCTTTCACTCTACATAAAAGAATATATCGTAAAGAAAACGTTGTGGACCTTATGAAGTATTGTCTAACTGATCAGTGCGACGAGGGGAGTCGATTTTCCATGGCCGTCTGTTGGACTAGCTCCCTCAGTTTTTTGAGATAACAATCTGAATTTTTGCGCAGACCCCTCTCCTACGAAAAAGATCTTCTTATATCCTTTTATGTTATAAAAAATGCACCAATGAGGGGTATTATAGCGAGAGTGCGGCCGAAGTTAACGTTTTCCTCGTTTTAACCTCACTTGTACACAAAATTAAGTACGATCTCTCACGTGTATCACAAGTTCATAAAATAATAATATTGTTTCTAGTTTACAAATATACAAAGTGTTCCCGTTGCTCATAAAAATATGAGTTTCCAAAGTGTTCCAATTGTTCATAAAGATGAGAGTCTCCTAAATAACTATTTTTATAGTTTTCACATTTTTTATTTGATATTGAGGCTTGACTTCGATACAAAAGATATAGTTTATTATTCTCATTTATTCTAAATGATTAATTTAAATTTTAGTTAAATTAAAATTAAAGTTCTCGTTAACTGTATGTATGTATGTGTAAAATTTCATATTACTTGCTGTTTCTGTTCTCTAAAAGTAGCCCAATATATGTGTGTATGTATTTGAAGGCCTTCCTATCCTCAGTATCAAAACAAAAACAAAAAAACAAAAATAATAATAAAACAAAACAACTTTCGAAAACATAAAGAGATTTACAGTTAAAAAGAAAAAATATGTAAATATGTTAAACATGTCCCCCCATAAATCTATGAATCTGTTTCGTTTTATTTCTATTCCAGGTGGCAAGGAATGCGAATTGTAGTAAATGCTCTCATGTATGCAATACCGTCAATTTTTAATGTACTTTTAGTTTGTTTAGTCTTTTGGTTGATATTTTCCATAATGGGTGTACAATTTTTCGGTGGTAAATTTTTCAAATGCCTTGATGATGATGGTGAATTGCTGCCAGTGACGGTTAGTAAATAAATCGGACATAAACTACAATTTTAAATATGCAAACACTACACTTAGAAAAACAAAATGGAACACAGTGATACTTGAACAATGTTTTAGTTTTGAATTTTTGTTGTGAAAGAAGCGGAAGCGCTATGATATTTTTACCTTTTAGTGATATAAAATATGTAATTAAAATTATTGGAAATAAAAATATTTTGTTTTTTTAATCAATTTTATTTTTTTTATTTTTAATTCAAATTAAATTTTATATACATAATTTATAAACAAATTTGTCATAAAGTATTAAATTAAAATTATTGGAAATAAAAATATTTTGTTTTTTTAATCAA